GGAGGAGGTTGGGGGGGAAGGGGAGGGTAATTGGATGTGAGAGGAGGGTGCTAATGGTGAGGGGAGGGAGATGGTGAATGTGATGAGGGATATTAATAAGGGGTGAAATTGATGAAAGAGAGAGAAGGGGGACGAGGAGGGCATGGAGGCAGGAGGTAGTTACAGTGTGGCGGTGGTTGTGGTCTTGTGCAGGTAGTGAGTCTCCCCAGAGCGAACACTCCCATTGTAAACTATGAGCTGGTACACACTCTCCAACACTATACATGTGAGCGCCCTGTTAGCAGTAACTTTAGACCAAATGAGATGCCTTGAGCTGTCACTAATTCATAACACTTAGGAATATTGGAAGATAATGTTGTGGTCTACCCAGAGTGTGTTAGTGGAGGCTGCTGCTCTACTGTTGCAGCTCCTCTTTCCTTCTGTTGCCATGAGTGACTAAGCTCACTATGAGACGGAGATATTAGATGGACACCTGGCCAGCTCCTCATCTCTATAATCCTTCACAAAGCAACTTGTCCTCTTAAAAATAACGTCGCTTTTCGCTCGTATGCGCACTATGGCCAAATTTGGACGTAATTTGAAATGAAATTGACTCACAAAAGTGACGTACTGTTCCGTTTTCTGTTCGAGTCGTCCGGCTTACTCGGCCAGCTTAGAAAAGGCAACTTTCCATTAACGTTTTTCATAACGTTTTGAAACTTTATGAGAATTTCCTGCCCACCTAACCTATCAGAGGATCCTTAACTTACTGTTGTTGAAAAAAAATCCCCCACAAAAAGTAGGGCAGCAGTACATTGCTGTATCTACCTAAACTTGCTATTAACATACAAAATGTGCTCTCTTCTGGCTGCTGCTTCCTCCGGATAGGAATAAATTCCCGGGTATGTCTTATGATAACATATTAACCTCAAAACTCCTGCCGTTGTCGCACTCCAAACTTGTCTACACCCTCCAGGACATTAACGTGTAACAAGGGAGTGAGTATTTATGAGTATGGGTGAGAGTGAGTACATGTGAGGCAGAGGGAAGTTGTGTGAGTTGGTGTGAGGCCCAGGAGTGTGGAACCATTTGGCGAGTGTGAGCAGGAAGCACCTCAAGGTAGACACTCATCTCAGAGCACCTGGTGGGCTTATAAGCCTGTCTTATGGGGCTCATGCCCTGTAGGCCTAACTAAGGCTTTCAGATTTAAGGGGCTGGGAAAGAAAAAGAAAGAGTGTGTGTCAGCACAACCTGTGAGCAAGGTAGAGGGGTCCAGAGCCAGCTGGGCTGCTATGGGCAAGGAACCCATCTGTACGAGAGGTGAGAGTACTCAGTATTAATACAGTCAGTGTGGATGTGGTGGATATCTTCCTAACACATCGGTGTCTAGTGTGCAGAAAACACCTCAAACCTTTCCTAGTGAGTGGAGTTATGTGGTAGATCGGAGTACAGTCACTCAAGTGATGTGGAGTGTGGTACTCCAGGAGCGGCGAGAAGGAGGGGGGGGGGAGGTGTTCAAGCGATAGTCAGTGCTTTGTGTACACTGAAATGTATTAAGCTCGTTTTCACTCTCCACAAACAAGACAAGAGCATACTCTCATCACAAGCGGGGAAAACATGGAGAACTACAAATTAATGGTGTAACACTTGAATGGGTTGACCACTATCGGTACCTTGGCGTCACTGTCGGCTCTAATAAGGGAAAGCAAGAGGAGCTCAATCAACTCATAGGAACATGCAAAAGTCGACTCAGAGCACTGAAAGCTATGACCTGGAATGGACATGGAGCCTCTATTGCCGTGCTTAAAATGATGTACACAGCCTATGTGCGCTCCGTCATAGACTATGCCGCACCAGTTTTATGCACCTACTCCCAAAGCGATATAAAATGACTTTAAAGCATTCAGAATGAAGCCATGACAATCATTCTTGGAGTTCCAAGAACGGCCAAAACGTCTAATCTACGAGAGGAGTTGTTCCTCCCCAGTGTTAAAAGCATGATTAAGGAGCTGAATGCTAAGCTTGCAATTAAGATAGCAAGAGATCCCCATTACAATGATATTGCCAAGAAGAAACTGAGTTCTGTGCTACTTTCAGGGGAAAACAGGAGAAGCAAAAAATGGCATCCCAGATCAGTCTGCTACCTCGAAGAACTTCACCTGCTTGAGCAAGCCCGTGAGCTCCTGCCTGTAGAGAGGTTACCTTCCTGGGAGGATAACTCTTGCAGGATTATCATCAATGAAATGTCAACGAAAAAATCCAACATGATAGCATAAGAAATGAGGCACAAGTATTTCGAGGAAATTTATAAAGAAGCCGAAGATGAACTAGATCAAATCTACACTGACGGGTCATCTAATCCTGTCAATGGCAGGGCTGGTGCAGCACACACGGTAATTAAGGATAATGTTTTCCAACGCAGAAACGAAGAAAAAGCACGTATTGAGAACTATGCCTCTTCAACGCAAGCAGAGCTAACTGCCATTGTTATGGCGTTAAGGTTTCTTGAACGGAACACTAATGGTGCAGTGATTTGCACCGATTCAAAAGCAGCACTGCAAAGCCTAGGTAAAAACCGGGCAGAAAATCTTGCAATAGTCGCTGAAATTAAGAGAGCTGTAAGAGTACTTACCAATCAGGGAAGAGTCGTCAAGTTTCTGTGGATCCCCTCCCATGTTGGAATATGTGGGAACGAACGAGCAGATGTGCTGGCTGCTGAAGGCGCTGAAGGAGACCATATTGAATACTTCATACCCAAGACACTACTACAAATTAGAGGTATTGTCAGGCAACATCACCGTGACAAGATAACTGAGGAAAGGAGGATAGAAGCACAAACCAGTGAATCTGTACGCTGGTACAACATGGTTGCAGCTGACAATCCCAATCTTTATGAACGAAGAGAAGTAGGACGCGGGAGAGAATCAGTAATAGCGAGAATCCGTCTTGGATACAAATATCCATGGCGATTCGGAATGGAAACAACAGTTGATCAGCGGAGTTGCAGAATCTGTGGTGAGAGTGACGGACACCGCCTTGACCACTATCTACGTGAATGTGAACACCTGAGCGACATTAGAAATGTGTAGAATAATAAACCCCACATTGTTTGAGTTAGAAAAACACTATTTGTCAAATATTGATACTGTTCTTAAAAGATTTCCCCATTTTGCACCCGCAAGATAACGTAAGCTTTCAAGAGTTGACAGATGTTAATCTTCTTGTTTGAGGAGTTGTTCACTTGAGACAGTTAAGCAAGTCCCAGCTGTGTCTGGGTACAAGTGACAGGATGAACAACCCAGTGGGTTTTCTTCCTTTTGGGGGGTGTTGTACCTACTGCTATGGCGGTGTTCACTCACAAAATGAATGGCGCTACCCAATAAACTCGCCCCTCGGGGCAAAATTAAAAAAAAAAATTACCAAACTACTGAAGGCTCTGGCTATCCCAAACTACTGAAGGCTCTGGCTATCCCAAACTACTGAAGGCTCTGGCTATCCCAAACTACTGAAGGCTCTGGCTATCCCAAACTACTGAAGGCTCTGGCTATCCCAAACTACTGAAGGCTCCGGCTATCCCAAACTACTGAAGGCTCCGGCTATCCCAAACTACTGAAGGCTCCGGCTATCCCAAAGTACTGAAGGCTCCGGCTATCCCAAAGTACTGAAGGCTCCGGCTATCCCAAAGTACTGAAGGCTCCGGCTATCCCAAAGTACTGAAGGCTCCGGCTATCCCAAAGTACTGAAGGCTCCGGCTATCCCAAAGTACTGAAGGCTCCGGCTATCCCAAAGTACTGAAGGCTCCGGCTATCCCAAAGTACTGAAGGCTCCGGCTATCCCAAAGTACTGAAGGCTCCGGCTATCCCAAAGTACTGAAGGCTCCGGCTATCCCAAAGTACTGAAGGCTCCGGCTATCCCAAAGTACTGAAGGCTCCGGCTATCCCAAAGTACTGAAGGCTCCGGCTATCCCAAAGTACTGAAGGCTCCGGCTATCCCAAAGTACTGAAGGCTCCGGCTATCCCAAAGTACTGAAGGCTCCGGCTATCCCAAAGTACTGAAGGCTCTGGCTATCCCAAAGTACTGAAGGCTCCGGCTATCCCAAAGTACTGAAGGCTCCGGCTATCCCAAAGTACTGAAGGCTCCGGCTATCCCAAAGTACTGAAGGCTCCGGCTATCCCAAAGTATTGAAGGCTCCGGCTATCCCAAAGTACTGAAGGCTCCGGCTATCCCAAAGTACTGAAGGCTCCGGCTATCCCAAAGTACTGAAGGCTCCGGCTATCCCAAAGTACTGAAGGCTCTGGCCATCCCAAAGTACTGAAGACTCTGGCTATCCCAAAGTACTGAAGACTCTGGCTATCTCAAAGTATTGCAGGTTCCTCCCGCCCCAAGATACTGAGGGTGGTGGCCGCCCCAGACCAGGGAAGACTTGAGGTGGTGGTCCATTAGCGTCGAGGACCAGTGTCTCCCGCCCATCACGCTCCTGCTGCTGCATCAATCTTGCCTGACAGCGTCACCCCGCCCCACACTATGTGTCCTGGTCTAACACCACACCATACTCACCCCTGCACCACACCACACTCACCCCTGCACCACACCACACTCACCCCAGCACCACACCACACTCACCCCAGCACCACACCACACTCACCCCAGCACCACACCACACTCACCCCAGCACCACCCCATACTCACCCCAGCACCACACCATACTCACCCCAGCACCACACCATACTCACCCCAGCACCACACTATACTCACCCCTGCACCACACTATACTCACCCCTGCACCACACTATACTCACCCCTGCACCACACCATACTCACCCCTGCACCACACCATACTCACCCCTGCACCACACTATACTCACCCCTGCACCACACCATACTCACCCCTGCACCACACCATACTCACCCGAGCACAAATTTATTTTAATATTCAATTATATAATTTTATTTGGAATTAGAAAGTTATGATCTTTGGTTAAATAAAATTTACAATGATCACAAATTATATATTTACTTACCTTAGCACTTGCGCATAAGACGCAACGATCATCTCTATGCCCTCCTGGACGTCTTCACGAAGCCCCAGCCAGTCACCTATGGGCACAAGTGGCATGTCTGAGGGTTGAGAGTGCTCCCGCTCCCCAGTCAACCACTCACTTCCCCAGTCCTTGGATTTCGTTAAAAACTTCCCAATTTCATTATTTCTGAGCCACTCTGGAGTCCAGTTTCCAGACTTTGTCCATTCTGGGTATTTCCAATTGTTGATTTTCCAACTCTCACCTTTCAAGTGTTGTTCGCTCCAAGCCGTGAACTTTGAAACCAGCTGCGATAGCTGACTTCCACTTGATTGATCAGTCAAGAATAGATCCCGTGGGTGCTGGGATGCGTACGGGACACTTGACTCCTGGGACACACGTGATACACTTGGTTGCTGGGATACGTGTGGGATACTTGGCGGTTGAGGCGCATGGATGCTACAGGGTTTGTGGGACACTAGAAGACAACTAGGCTGGGACACGTGCTGTCTGCCCAGCTGACGGGACTCTTGCAAGTTACTGCTGAACTGTTGAGACCTTTGGAGGCTACCGGGCTGCTGACACCTGGACAGGCCCCAAGGCTGCCGTGCCAGGAGCTGCTGAAGAACACTTTGATGCTGAAGATGACTGGGTTGGGGAAGGAGCTGGGAGTTGGTGGGGTCGTGACACTCACAGGAGCCGCTGGGCGGCTGGGCACTTGGGCTGCTAATGTACTGATGCCACCTGGCAACTGTCTCCTTAATGTTACCATATGTTGCAATATTATGGGGTGTGTGATGTGTCTGAGGCGAGTAACACGGCAAGACATCGATGTTCTTGACGTTGCGGTTCTTGGCATTGTGGGTATTGTTGTTGTTGTGGGGCGCGAGCCGCTGCTCCCGGCGAGCCCTCGTCTGCAGGTACAAGGCCGCGGTGGCGCTCTGAGCTAACATACCTTCCTTGACCCTGGCATGTCACCCGGGGCTCTCACTCCCGCCACCACTCTTCTTCTTTCCTTTTTACTCGTATTTGCTTTATTTGAAATATTTGTCTTTGCAGATTAATATTGTTTGTCAACACTTGGTTTTGTATTTTGTTTTTCTAGTTAATAAATATCAGTTTTTGGAGAGCGGCGCCTCTTACACGGGGCCATCGTGCCTACGTCACTCCCGCAGGCCTACTGGCACTCTGGTAGGCCTACTGGCACTCTGGTAGGCCTACTGGCACTTTGGTAGGCCTACTGACTCTCCCGTAGGTCTAGTGACACTGGCAGGCCTAGTGACACTTTGGTAGGCCTAGTGATACTCTGGCAAGCTCAACTCTGCATCGTATGTCGGGTGGGGGGTGTTGGGCGTGGAGGCCGCCGGGTTCCACACTGCAGCCTCCAGGGGCGTCGGCCACCCTCCACCTCGTCCTTCAAAGGTCGCCCAACGTCAAGCAACTGTCGTACTAAAGTGGCCCTTATCCTAACCCAACAGAGAACCTAAAACAGAAAACGGGAGAGTATGTCAATTTTGCAAGCCACTTCCATTTTCTAGTACGACGATTTTTGGCCTTTGGTAGAGTATACGTCAACACGCGACGTTGTATATTTGAAGGATGGGTTGGACCTTCCTTCAGGTCAGCCTCTCATTATCTTAACAACACCGCGCCAACACATACCATGGGAACAACTCGAGTATTTTACTGCATTACATTTTACAAGAGTTTAGGATCCAGTTCTCAAAGCAGTGACGGAACGTGAACAACTCACACACAACATCATTACGTGTCAGAGTGGAACAAAAATGATGAATTTTATTACAAATACTACGGTATTGTCCACAAATAATACTGCGGTATTGTCCACAAATAATACTGCGGTATTGTCCACAAATAATACTGCGGTATTGTCCACAAATACTACTGCGGTATTGTCCACAAATACTACTGCGGTATTTTCCACAAATACTACTGCGGTATTTTCCACAAATAAAACTGCGGTATTGTCCACAAATAAAACTGCGGTATTGTCCACAAATACTACTGCGGTATTGTCCACAAACACTACTACGGTATTGTCCACAAACACTACTACGGTATTGTCCACAAATACTACTGCGGTATTGTCCACAAATACTACTGCGGTATTGTCCACAAATAATACTGCGGTATTGTCCACAAATACTACTGCGGTATTGTCCACAAATAAAACTGCGGTATTGTCCACAAATAAAACTGCGGTATTGTCCACAAATAATACTGCGGTATTGTCCACAAATACTACTGCGGTATTGTCCACAAATACTACTGCGGTATTGTCCACAAATACTACTGCGGTATTGTCCACAAACACTACTACGGTATTGTCCACAAACACTACTACGGTATTGTCCACAAACACTACTACGGTATTGTCCACAAACACTACGACGGTATTGTCCACAAACACTACGACGGTATTGTCCACAAACACTACGACGGTATTGTCCACAAACAATACGACGGTATTGTCCACAAACAATACGACGGTATTGTCCACAAACAATACGACGGTATTGTCCACAAACAATACGACGGTATTGTCCACAAACAATACGACGGTATTGTCCACAAACAATACGACGATATTGCCCACAAACAATACGACGGTATTGCCCACAAACAATACGACGGTATTGCCCACAAACAATACGACGGTATTGCCCACAAACAATACGACGGTATTGCCCACAAACAATACGACGGTATTGCCCACAAACAATACGACGGTATTGCCCACAAACAATACGACGGTATTGCCCACAAACAATACGACGGTATTGCCCACAAACAATACGACGGTATTGCCCACAAACAATAATACGGTATTGCCCACAAGCGATACTACGGTATTGCCCACACAATACTACGGTATTGCCCACAAACAATACTACGGTATTGCCCACAAACAATACTACGGTATTGCCCACAAACAATACTACGGTATTGCCCACAAACAATACTACGGTATTGCCCACAAACAATACTACGGTATTGCCCACAAACAATACTACGGTATTGCCCACAAACAATACTACGGTATTGCCCACAAACAATACTACGGTATTGCCCACAAACAATACTACGGTATTGCCCACAAACAATACTACGGTATTGCCCACAAACAATACTACGGTATTGCCCACAAATAATACTAGAGTATTATTATGGACCCGAGCCCAGTGTCCGAGCACGGAGCAGTGACGACCGCGCCATCTGTGGGTCAGCTCCCGAAACCCCCTCCAAATGGACGACGCTACCTAGTTAGGACGAGATATACTGGTCACAAGAGCTAGTTTCCCGTCCTGATCAGCTCATAACACAGCCGCTGCTGACCTCTGGTGAGGTGGAGCTTAGACAGCAACGCCATCTATGGAGTGGATAGGTGGGCGTTTGTGTCTAAGCCTGTAAGTGAGGTGCCCTAGAGTGTCCCTATTACTGATGACGTGTCTGATTACAGAGTCGACCTGGGACGGCTGTAATGGAAGTCGGATCAGTCTACCCAAGGCAGCCGTCTTGTCTCCAAGTATTTGCTGCAGCAGCTGTGAGTCACCCCCTGGATGAACACTGAGGTGTTAGCCTGCCTGTGACGTGGCAGCTGAGGGATTGTCGTACCCGGGACTGACTGGTGGAGACGCTTAACCACTGGGGTGTTGTGGCGAGGAAAGTGGTCTGTGGGATCACACGAGGCTCCTGACTAGGGCTCGCTACCCTAGTATCGGTTGTGGAGTGGCCTAACCAGCGTTGCTGATTGGAACCTGCCAGCTACCGGCTGGACTTGTGGTTGATGGCCTCCACGACGGTGCCCCCAGTGGAACTGTGATTTGGCTGGCCTGTGGCCAGGGTAGACTCAAGAGAATCGAAGGATTCGTCGTGAGGCCACAAGAGGACCAAGAGCTTAGCATTGATTGAGCACCGTGAACGTCCAGAGTCTTCAGAGGAAGACTACGTTGTATATTATAGCGTTTATTCCTCCCCCTTGTGATAATCTTTATATTATTTATGGTGATGGTGACAATTATATTATTAAGTTTTTGCCTTTGTCTCCCTTCCCCCTTTAATTTACTTGCGTTACGGATCACATCCCTTGAAAGCCACTACTAGCTTGGGGCCGGATACCCTACCTCTAACAACATCAGAGAAAGAACCCGGTTGCAACCCGAGAGGGCCGTAACAGGTATTTTCCACAAACAATACTACGGTATTGTCCACAAACAGTACTACGGTATTGTCCACAAACAGTACTACGGTATTGTCCACAAACAGTACTACGGTATTGTCCACAAATAATACTACGGTAATGTCCACAAATAATACTACGGTAATGTCCACAAATAATACTACGGTATTGTCCACAAATAATGCTACGGTAATGTCCACAAATAATACTACGGTATTGTCCACAAATAATACTACGGTAATGTCCACAAAAAATGCTACGGTATTGTCCACAAACAATACTACGGTATTGTCCACAAACAGTACTACGGTATTGTCCACAAACAGTACTACGGTATTGTCCACAAACAGTACTACGGTATTGTCCACAAACAGTACTACGGTATTGTCCACAAACAGTACTACGGTATTGTCCACAAACAGTACTACGGTATTGTCCACAAACAGTACTACGGTATTGTCCACAAACAGTACTACGGTATTGTCCACAAACAGTACTACGGTATTGTCCACAAACAGTACTACGGTATTGTCCACAAACAGTACTACGGTATTGTCCACAAACAGTACTACGGTATTGTCCACAAACAGTACTACGGTATTGTCCACAAACAGTACTACGGTATTGTCCACAAACAGTACTACGGTATTGTCCACAAACAGTACTACGGTATTGTCCACAAACAGTACTACGGTATTGTCCACAAACAGTACTACGGTATTGTCCACAAACAGTACTACGGTATTGTCCACAAACAATACTACGGTATTGTCCACAAACAATACTACGGTATTGTCCACAAACAATATTACGGTATTGTCCACAAACAATACTACGGTATTGTCCACAAACAATACTACGGTATTGTCCACAAACAATACTACGGTATTGTCCACAAACAATACTACGGTATTGTCCACAAACAATACTACGGTATTGTCCACAAACAATACTACGGTATTGTCCACAAACAATACTACGGTATTGTCCACAAACAATACTACGGTATTGTCCACAAACAATACTACGGTATTGTCCACAAACAATACTACGGTATTGTCCACAAACAATACTACGGTATTGTCCACAAACAATACTACGGTATTGTCCACAAACAATACTACGGTATTGTCCACAAACAATACTACGGTATTGTCCACAAACAATACTACGGTATTGTCCACAAACAATACTACGGTATTGTCCACAAACAATACTACGGTATTGTCCACAAACAATACTACGGTATTGTCCACAAACAATACTACGGTATTGTCCACAAACAATACTACGGTATTGTCCACAAACAATACTACGGTATTGTCCACAAACAATACTACGGTATTGTCCACAAACAATACTACGGTATTGTCCACAAACAATACTACGGTATTGTCCACAAACAATACTACGGTATTGTCCACAAACAATACTACGGTATTGTCCACAAACAATACTACGGTATTGTCCACAAACAATACTACGGTATTGTCCACAAACAATACTACGGTATTGTCCACAAACAATACTACGGTATTGTCCACAAACAATACTACGGTATTGTCCACAAACAATACTACGGTATTGTCCACAAACAATACTACGGTATTGTCCACAAACAATACTACGGTATTGTCCACAAACAATACTACGGTATTGTCCACAAACAATACTACGGTATTGTCCACAAACAATACTACGGTATTGTCCACAAACAATACTACGGTATTGTCCACAAACAATACTACGGTATTGTCCACAAACAATACTACGGTATTGTCCACAAACAATACTACGGTATTGTCCACAAACAATACTACGGTATTGTCCACAAACAATACTACGGTATTGTCCACAAACAATACTACGGTATTGTCCACAAACAATACTACGGTATTGTCCACAAACAAACAATACTACGGTATTGTCCGGTATTGTCCACAAACAATACTACGGTATTGTCCACAAACAATACTACGGTATTGTCCACAAACAATACTACGGTATTGTCCACAAACAATACTACGGTATTGTCCACAAACAATACTACGGTATTGTCCACAAACAATACTACGGTATTGTCCACAAACAATACTACGGTATTGTCCACAAACAATACTACGGTATTGTCCACAAACAATACTACGGTATTGTCCACAAACAATACTACGGTACGGTTGTCCACAAACAATACTACGGTATTGTCCACAAACAATACTACGGTATTGTCCACAAACAATACTACGGTATTGTCCACAAACAATACTACGGTATTGTCCACAAACAATACTACGGTATTGTCCACAAACAATACTACGGTATTGTCCACAAACAATACTACGGTATTGTCCACAAACAATACTACGGTATTGTCCACAAACAATACTACGGTATTGTCCACAAACAATACTACGGTATTGTCCACAAACAATACTACGGTATTGTCCACAAACAATACTACGGTATTGTCCACAAACAATACTACGGTATTGTCCACAAACAATACTACGGTATTGTCCACAAACAATACTACGGTATTGTCCACAAACAATACTACGGTATTGTCCACAAACAATACTACGGTATTGTCCACAAACAATACTACGGTATTGTCCACAAACAATACTACGGTATTGTCCACAAACAATACTACGGTATTGTCCACAAACAATACTACGGTATTGTCCACAAACAATACTACGGTATTGTCCACAAACAATACTACGGTATTGTCCACAAACAATACTACGGTATTGTCCACAAACAATACTACGGTATTGTCCACAAACAATACTACGGTATTGTCCACAAACAATACTACGGTATTGTCCACAAACAATACTACGGTATTGTCCACAAACAATACTACGGTATTGTCCACAAACAATACTACGGTATTGTCCACAAACAATACTACGGTATTGTCCACAAACAATACTACGGTATTGTCCACAAACAATACTACGGTATTGTCCACAAACAATACTACGGTATTGTCCACAAACAATACTACGGTATTGTCCACAAACAATACTACGGTATTGTCCACAAACAATACTACGGTATTGTCCACAAACAATACTACGGTATTGTCCACAAACAATACTACGGTATTGTCCACAAACAATACTACGGTATTGTCCACAAACAATACTACGGTATTGTCCACAAACAATACTACGGTATTGTCCACAAACAATACTACGGTATTGTCCACAAACAATACTACGGTATTGTCCACAAACAATACTACGGTATTGTCCACAAACAATACTACGGTATTGTCCACAAACAATACTACGGTATTGTCCACAAACAATACTACGGTATTGTCCACAAACAATACTACGGTATTGTCCACAAACAATACTACGGTATTGTCCACAAACAATACTACGGTATTGTCCACAAACAATACTACGGTATTGTCCACAAACAATACTACGGTATTGTCCACAAACAATACTACGGTATTGTCCACAAACAATACTACGGTATTGTCCACAAACAATACTACGGTATTGTCCACAAACAATACTACGGTATTGTCCACAAACAATACTACGGTATTGTCCACAAACAATACTACGGTATTGTCCACAAACAATACTACGGTATTGTCCACAAACAATACTACGGTATTGTCCACAAACAATACTACGGTATTGTCCACAAACAATACTACGGTATTGTCCACAAACAATACTACGGTATTGTCCACAAACAATACTACGGTATTGTCCACAAACAATACTACGGTATTGTCCACAAACAATACTACGGTATTGTCCACAAACAATACTACTACTACGGTATTGTCCACAAACAATACTACGGTATTGTCCACAAACAATACTACGGTATTGTCCACAAACAATACTACGGTATTGTCCACAAACAATACTACGGTATTGTCCACAAACAATACTACGGTATTGTCCACAAACAAACACATACTACGGTATTGTCCACAAACAATACTACGGTATTGTCCACAAACAATACTACGGTATTGTCCACAAACAATACTACGGTATTGTCCACAAACAATACTACGGTATTGTCCACAAACAATACTACGGTATTGTCCACAAACAATACTACGGTATTGTCCACAAACAATACTACGGTATTGTCCACAAACAATACTACGGTATTGTCCACAAACAATACTACGGTATTGTCCACAAACAATACTACGGTATTGTCCACAAACAATACTACGGTATTGTCCACAAACAATACTACGGTATTGTCCACAAACAATACTACGGTATTGTCCACAAACAATACTACGGTATTGTCCACAAACAATACTACGGTATTGTCCACAAACAATACTACGGTATTGTCCACAAACAATACTACGGTATTGTCCACAAACAATACTACGGTATTGTCCACAAACAATACTACGGTATTGTCCACAAACAATACTACGGTATTGTCCACAAACAATACTACGGTATTGTCCACAAACAATACTACGGTATTGTCCACAAACAATACTACGGTATTGTCCACAAACAATACTACGGTATTGTCCACAAACAATACTACGGTATTGTCCACAAACAATACTACGGTATTGTCCACAAACAATACTACGGTATTGTCCACAAACAATACTACGGTATTGTCCACAAACAATACTACGGTATTGTCCACAAACAATACTACGGTATTGTCCACAAACAATACTACGGTATTGTCCACAAACAATACTACGGTATTGTCCACAAACAATACTACGGTATTGTCCACAAACAATACTACGGTATTGTCCACAAACAATACTACGGTATTGTCCACAAACAATACTACGGTATTGTCCACAAACAATACTACGGTATTGTCCACAAACAATACTACGGTATTGTCCACAAACAATACTACGGTATTGTCCACAAACAATACTACGGTATTGTCCACAAACAATACTACGGTATTGTCCACAAACAATACTACGGTATTGTCTACACACAAACAATACTACGGTATTGTCCACAAACAATACTACGGTATTGTCCACAAACAATACTACGGTATTGTCCACAAACAATACTACGGTATTGTCCACAAACAATACTACGGTATTGTCCACAAACAATACTACGGTATTGTCCACAAACAATACTACGGTATTGTCCACAAACAATACTACGGTATTGTCCACAAACAATACTACGGTATTGTCCACAAACAATACTACGGTATTGTCCACAAACAATACTACGGTATTGTCCACAAACAATACTACGGTATTGTCCACAAACAATACTACGGTATTGTCCACAAACAATACTACGGTATTGTCCACAAACAATACTACGGTATTGTCCACAAACAATACTACGGTATTGTCCACAAACAATACTACGGTATTGTCCACAAACAATACTACGGTATTGTCCACAAACAATACTACGGTATTGTCCACAAACAATACTACGGTATTGTCCACAAACAATACTACGGTATTGTCCACAAACAATACTACGGTATTGTCCACAAACAATACTACGGTATTGTCCACAAACAATACTACGGTATTGTCCACAAACAATACTACGGTATTGTCCACAAACAATACTACGGTACACAAACAATACTACGGTATTGTCAACAAACAATACTACGGTATTGTCAACAAACAATACTACGGTATTGTCAACAAACAATAACGGTATTGTCAACACAATACTACGGTATTGTCTACGGTACAAACAATACTACGGTATTGTCAACAAACAATACTACGTTATTGTCCACAAACAATACTACGGTATTGTCAACAAACAATACTACGGTATTGTCAACAAACAATACTACGGTATTGTCCACAAGTATTATGCTATTGTTCACTGGCCAGCTTACAACTTGCATATAATTTACGGGGTATAATGTACTATTAATTAAACTCTATTATATATAAATATATAATTTTACCCCTGCATGTGGGTAAAATTATTTACTTATATGTAATATAGTTAAATTAATAATTAATAAATTATACATTGTAGAAACAAAGTATTATAAGTAAATTAACTGTAAACTATAAGTGATAGTAAGGTGTATAATTAATGGGTATAACAGTAATTTGCCTTCATGTAAAATTAGTAAGTTAACAATAAATTATCTGTGAACAAATGATATAATTGTTGAAGTTAAATTAATGACGACCACACCAGGATAACTGAGTTAACAGCGACCTTTAGTAACAAGCCTAGTTAATGTAATGACTGATAACAAGTGGGTTCTGGCGTAGCGCCCCTGGGGGCCCGGCGCCAGGGGCCTAGCGTAAGGGAGGGCCCGGCACCGGGCCTCCCAAGGAATCCCAGCTCTTCCAAGCCATCCCAGCCCGTCCCTGACCTCGACACACCCCAACATGAACGAAGACTGTGGCCACACACCTACCTGCCCGCCCCACCACTGGCTGCCGCGTCCATCCACGTTACAAAGTGAATCATTTCGATCACGGCATAACTCCGAACTAGCGAGGTGGGGCGGTGATGGTTTTATAATGGCGGTGTGGCGCCAAGGTTACCTTCTCGCCACGGCCCCGTGTCTGGCTCGCCACGGCACCGGTTGCGGTAGTCTAGTCACGGGGGGATAACGGAGGAGTCATATGTGCTCCATCCTACATATATTGACATAATACATTAGTCTAATTTTATACTATTTACTTTATGGTCCGGACAAAATAAAGCTGAAAACCAAACTTCAATATTCCTAGGCCTAGTATAGCACACATGTACTATATTAGGCCTCAGCGTGTATTAGGCCTAGGTTTTATTAGCAACATAAATACAAAACATTTTCCGTTTATTTTCTTTTTCAAATTCTACTTTCTATATATATATATTACTTCAATATATATGCGATGGTCCACATAGTTACTATAAGTACTATCTAAACAGGAGGATGGCCTGGAATAAACATATATAGGCCAACACTTTCAGAAAAAATTAGAGTGAATTCTTAGTGGTACAATACACATACATTTATGGTACAATACACCACATACATTTATGGAACAATGCACCACATACATTTATGGTACAATACACCACATACATTTATGGAACAATACACCACATACATTTATGGTACAATACACCACATACATTTATGGTACAATACACCACATACACTGGCAAGGTGTTGTCCTCAGCCACAGTCTTCACCTTCCTTCCCGCTCCAGGTCGCACACATTACGCAAGCTCCCTTCACGGTACTCACAGTAACTTAGCCCAGTCATTTCGTTATGTATTAAACACGCATTTGTGATTCGCATCGATATTCCGTAAATTCACAATCACTACTCAACACACTGAGCGACACGTGTTGATGTGATGGTGTGGCGGGAGCGGTACACCCTAACGTCACGGCGGCCGCCGAGCTACTGACCATTGTCACCATGGCTACCACTCTACCTCCCTGACCATGGCTACCACTCTACCCGCTGACCATGGCTACCACTCTACCCGCTGACCATGGCTACCACTCTACCCGCTGACCATGGCTACCACCCTATCTCCTGACCTCTAAACACCAAATTCACAAAACTGGAATAGCTCCAGTGAGCGGGGTGCCTGTGCTTCACTATCTGTCATTAGAGAGTGAACTTTAGCTCTAGGGCCCCACTTCATAGCTATAATACCTGCAGCATAGTTGTGTACGTGCTCGACCCACAACCAAGGGACACAGGCTCAATCCCCAGGCAAGGCAGAATCGGTTGGGCACGTTTCTTTTCATCTAGCAGTAAACAGGTGGTAAGAGAAGGTAGTGGTTGAAATATAAGAGATTCTTATATTTTTTTCAGAAATCTGCACAAGAGATTCGGGGTATAACTGCACTAGATAATAGACAGGTTAAGGAAGGGGTCCAAGAGCTAGAGCCCTGTCCCTGCAGACACTGTAGGTAAGAACAAAGTAGTAAGAATGCACTCCCATGCGCTTCTCACTAAAATACTTAAAGCTTAACTTAGAAGACCTAGAAAAGTCTATGAATACTGCAGACGTTTGTCCCTGAATGACTGGAGGAGAGGGTGGGTGTGTCGCAGGGGTAAGGGCGCACCCTTGAGTGGTTCAGGCTGACATCTTACACTGGTGAGCACGTAAGATGTCACCCTTCTTCTTAACTTACACTGACATCAAATAAGCTTTATGTTTATATGTTTTATATATATATATATATAATATATATATATATATATATATATATATATATATATATATATATATATATATTATATATATATATATATATATATATATAATATATATTAGTATATTTTGGTAGCAGTCTTTCCTGTAGACATATATTATTAAATATGACCGAAAAAGTAAAATTAATAATTCTAACACGAATTTTCTCGATCTTTCTTACATTTCTTTTCACTATTGATGGTAATTCAAAGATCACATCTCCAAAATTCCAAATAAAAATGAATTTTGGAGATTTGATCTTTGAATTACCATCAACAGTGAAAAGAAATGTAAGCAAGATCAAGAAAATTCGTGTTAGAATTATTAATCTTACTTTTTCGGTCATATATATATATATATATATATATATATATATATATATATATATATATATATATATATATATTATATATAGGAGAAGAAAACATCAAAGTGTTCAGTGAGGATCCACAAGGTCTTCTCTGAGTACTCTTTATTTTCTTCTCCGAGGCTATGGGTCCCTACACTTGCACCAGAGGTGGTACCCCTTTTATTATATTAAAAAATATATATATATATATATATATATATATATATATATATATATATATATATATATATATATATATATATATATATAAACCGAAACTGTCCTTCAGCTGCTGCAGACATCGGAGGCATTCGAGCAAAATTCGGTGTCAAGTTTCACTTACGAGATGGGGAATGATGGGAAGCTGCCCTTTTTAGATGTAACAGTCACGGAAAGGACTGGTGGCCTCCACACTACAGTCTACACTAAGGAAACATAGGAATATGCCTTAATGCCAATAGTGACAATGCCAATCACCTCGTGCACAGGCAGGAGGTGATAGGCAGCACCGCTTGCCTGTGCAGCACTGAAGTCAACATAGGTGTTGGCTAAAGTTGAAACGCAAGTGTAGTCCCACACCAACTGTTTACCATTCTTCCAGGGGTTCACTGTGATCCCGTCTGGGCGACCGACAGGCTCATCAGAGTTGCTGGGCATTAGGTAACGGGGCTCTCTCTGCTAGACAACCGGCTGTGGTAAGGCTTCTCTTAATAATGTCATTGACCTCGCCGTGTCTTGCATGCCATCCTCCTGTCCTTTGGCAGAGAAGGCCTTGCCGTCCGTACCTGTCGGCCACTGCCTCGCCGCAAATACACCTGTACTTGTATACAGGTACACCTGTATTCAGTGTGGATTGGGGCAGCGAGGCAGATATCCACAGAAATTCGGAGGGTCTGCGGTGTGAGACGAGTGCCAGTTGCTGACACTGGGATTGCTAATAGAAAGTCACCTGTATGGAGAGCTGCTACAGCTTTAAGTCGGGCAGTGTCATGCCCGACACATTATAAATATTATATATATATATATATATATATATATATATATATATATATATATATATATATATATATATATATATATATATATATATATATAAACGTTGTTGATGTAGTAAGACAAACAAAGGAATGCAAGTACTGAAGGTGCCCGTCGCCACAGATATAAACTCCACAGCTTCGACAATTCACTTTCACTAACCTAATATATGATATTACCCACTTTCTCTGTGTGGCAGCACGTCCGTGAAGGTGCGCGCACACACACACACACACACACACATATATATATATATATATATATATCTATAAATATAAATATGTGTAATATACGTAAATAAGTTGATACAGTATATGTAAATGATCTCCCAGAGGGAATAGAACCGTTCCTCTCATTGTTTGCTGATGATGGAAAAATTATGAGGAGGATTAAGACAGAGGAAGACAATATGAGGCTACAAGATGACCTAAACAAACTGAAGGAATGGCCCAACAAATGGCTATTAAAGTTCAACCCAAGTAAATGTAAGGTAATGAATCTAGGGGAAGGAAATAGAAGGCCAGACACAAAATACCGAATTTGAGATGAAATCCTTCATCAAACGGACAAAGAGAAAGATCTATTTTTTTTTTTTTTGCAGGGATAACCTGCGCGGTCCCTAAGCCTCCTGCTGGCGCACTAAGTGTTGCTGGTTTCTGTTTTACTTAGGCAGAGTACAGTATGAGTATTTATGACTCGTATGGTCGCTTATGTCCCACGTGTTTAACAACTTCTTCTAATCTGTTGAATCCAAGTTGAAATCTTATTGGGTTTGTAACTGTATATGTTACATATGCGACATATATTAGCCAGCCTCGGCATATGCGAGGCTGGCTAACATCAGAACAGCCTTCAGGAACCTGTGTAAGGAATCTTTCAGAACATTGTATACCACATATGTAAGACCAATCCTGGAGTATGCGGCCCCAGCATGGAGCCCGTACATTGTCAAGCACAAGACAAAGCCGGAAAAAGTTCAGAGGTATGACACTAGGCTAGTCCCAGAACTAAGAGGCATGAGTTATGAAGAAAGGCTGCGTGAAATGCACCTCACGTCGCTGGAAGACAGGAGAGCTCGGGGAGACATGATCACTACCTACAAAACTGGATTTACTGGGCGCAATTCCTTAACTGTAGCCTCTGTTTAACGCAACAGTAAAATGTGTACTTGGATGAAAAAACGATTCTTCGCGGCGGGGATCGTATTCCAGGGAACTGCCCGAAACGCTACGCGTACTAGTGGCTGTACAAGAATGTAACAACTCTTGTATATATCTCAAAAAAAAAAAAAAAAAAAAAAAAATTCTTCGAGGAATTGATAGGGTTGATAAACTGTTTAACACGGATGGTACGCGAACAAGGGGATACAGGTAAAAACTAAGTATCCAAATGAGCCACAGGGACGTTAGAAAGAACTTTTTCAGTGTCAGAGTAGTTAACAGGTAGAATGCATTAGGCAGTGATGTGGTGGAGGCTGACTCCATACACAGTTTCAATTGTAGATATGATAGAGCCCAGTAGGCTCAGGAACCTGTACACCAGCCGACAGTTGAGAGGCGGGACCAAAGAGCCGAAGCTCAACCCCCGCCAGCACAAGTAGGTAAGCTCACACACACACAGCTGCAAGAGCTGCTCCCGTGATGGCTAAGGTCTCAGTTCCGCCCTTACAGGCCCGGGGCAGCGGCAACCGCTCCTCCTCCAAGCAATCTGATCCTCGTCAGGAGCGCAGACTAGGCAACACCGGACACCCAAGCCGGACCCGCAAGCCGGCTGGCGGCCCTGCCCACAGTTCCCACCACTCCGAGCCCCTCACTAACATAAGAACAAAGTGAAGGATCTCCAGACTAATGAGGGAAGGCGCTAAGAATCCTCAGTGATCCCTTAATGCTGGCGGCCGCCCCGGGCTGCAGGGGCCCGCCGCCCCGGACTGGAGGGGCCCGCCGCCCCCGCGCTGCAGGGGACCGCCGCCTCCGGGCTGCAGGGGACCGCCGCCCCCGGGCTGCAGGGGACCGCCTCCCCCGGGCTGTAGGGGCCTGCCGCCCCCGGGCTGCAGGGGCCCGCCCCGCGCCTGCAGCCCGGCACCTCTGCCTCACCTTCATACTTTTATCCTTATATCATTTTCACTGAACTTATTTTCTTTCGTTACGTTAATACGAAGGAAAAAGCTGCGAGTCTCTCCATGGTATCGATAATTTAATGTAAATGTACTTCCTGAATTATCTATTGAGAGACTTTCTTATAACACGAGTGTAAGTGACCCTCTGTCAAGATGTATATCCCTAGTGAGTGACGTGGGGTGTTTATATACCTAATGAGTGACGTGGGGTGTATATACCTGGTGAGTGACGTGGAGTGTATATATACCCGGTGAGTGACGTGGGGAGCACCGTATATACCCGGTGAGTGACGCACAGTAACGCCGCCAACGGATCACTGACCGAGAGAAGCCTAGCAGCACTACCTCAAGGAGTAACTCTATTAGGGAGGGAGGGTGTGGTGACACAGGGAGGGAGGAGGGGGATTAATTCTTTAATATTCCTCCAGAGAGTAGCGTCACTCATCCTGTGAGTGGACACACTGCCATAGTGACAGTATTGGGCAGCGCCACTCATCCTGTGAGTGGACACACCGCCATAGTGACAGTATTGGGCAGCGCCACTCATCCTGTGAGTGGACACACCACCATAGTGACAGTATTGGGCAGCGCCACTCATCCTGTGAGTGGACACACCGCCATAGTGACAGTATTGGGCAGCGCCACTCATCCTGTGAGTGGACACACCGCCATAGTAACAGTAT